AGGTTTGAATTACACTGTCTATTGGGGTGCGTTCAGGGATGGACTTGGTTGTGTCTTGATGCAAGAGGGAAAAGTTGTGGCCTACGGATCACGATAATTGAAAACTCACGAGAAGAATCACCTCACCCATGATTTAGAATTATTGGCGGTGATTTTTGCCTTGAAAATTTGGAGGCATTACTTGTATGGTGAGAAATTTGAGATTTTCTCCGATCATAAGAGTTTGAAGTATTTGTTTTCTCAAAAAGACTTGAATTTATGACAACGAACGTGGATGGAATTTATGGAGGATTATGACTTTGAGTTACACTATCATCCGAGGAAAGCCAATGTGGTGGCCGATGCTTTGAGTCGAAAATCTGTGAGTAGTTTGGCAAGTGTGGCCATTCGGGAATGGGATATGCTAGATGTTATTGGCAAGTTTGATTTGCACTTGGGTGAGTCTGGAGAGAGTGCTACCCTGTTTACTTTGAATGCTCAACCTACCTTGGTTAGTAAGGTCATAGAGGCACAACAAGGAGACCGTGATGTGGAATCAATTCGTGTTAAGATTTCCAATGGGAAGGAAGAGAAAGGTTTGAACGTTCACTTGGATCTGACTGTACGTTACCTAGACCGTTTGTTTGTACCAGAATCTTGTAGAGAGGAAGTACTTCGGGAGTTCCATCACTCACGCCTTGCGGTACACCTGGGAGGCACTAAAATGTATCATGATCTTAGTCGTCAGTTTTCGTGGAGGGGTATGAAACGGGATGTCGCTTTATTTGTATCGAAGTGCCTTACTTGTCAACAAGTGAAGGCCGAACACCAAAGACTAGCGGGTTTGTTACAACCCTAATCGATAGCCGAGTGGAAATAGGAGCGTGTTACCATGGATTTTGTTGTTGGGCTTCCTAGAACACAACGAGGCAATGACGCCGTTTGGGTGATTATTGATAGGTTGACTAAGTCTACCCATTTCATTCTAATGTGCACCAGCGACTCAATTGAACGCTTGGCAGAGTTGTACATTAGAGAGATAGTTCAACTTCATGAAGTCCCTGTGACTATTGTGTTGGATAGGGGTCCTCGTTTTACTACCCGGTTATGGCAAAGCCTTCAAGAAGCGTTGGGAACTAAGTTGACTCTTAGGACCGCTTATCACCCTTAAATCGATGGACAATCGGAACGTACCATTAAGATTTTGGAGAACATGTTTAGAGCTTGTGTCCTTGATTTTAAAGGGCCTTGGGAAAGACACTTACCATTGATTGAGTTTGCTTACAACAACAGTTACCATGCTAGTATTGGGATGGCACCATTTGAGGCCTTATATGGCCGACCTTGTAAATCACCGGTTTGTTGGTCTGAAGTGGGTGATACACCATTACTGGGTTCAGAAATTGTTAGACAGGCAACTGAGAAAGTTGTTCTCATTCGGAAGAGGTTAGCTACGGCCCAAAGCCGACAAAAGAGTTATGCCGATAAGAGGAGACGACCTTTATCTTTTGAAGTTGGTGACCATGTGTTTCTAAAAATCTCACCAAGGCAGAGTTTGATGAGATTTGGTAAGAGTGGTAAATTATCTCCAAGGTTCATTGGGCCTTTTGAGATCTTAGAGCGAACTGGGAAAGTTACATACCAGTTAGCTTTACCGCCACAACTTTCTGAAGTTCACAATGTATTTCATGTATCTATGCTTAGGACGTATGAAGCCCGACCCTTCTCATGTTCTTGATTGGGTTGACTTGGAGGTAGATGAGGATGCTTCTTACGAAGAACGACCGGTTCAAATATTAGATGTCCGGGAGCAAATGCTACGGGACAAAACTATACTGTTGGTAAAGGTGTCGTGGAGACACCATGGGATTGAAGAAGCGATGTGGGAACGGGAGGCGAAAGTCCGCTCCAAATATCTGGATTTATTTGAAAATGCTTAAGTTACTTTTCTTTGTAATATTCCCTAGTGTTGAGGGAAACGTATTTAAAATATTAACCACATTTTGGTATGTGCGTTGTTATTTTAAGCATAAGGTTGTTTAGAGTTGCCATTGCTTTTTGGGAAATTTTATGTTTATGCGTATTTGGGAGGTTGTTATTAATGAGATAACCATGGTGGAAATGGTGGAATTTGGTTGAGAGTTAGTATTGTGATTTGAAAATGAAATAGTGTGGTTTTGATCGCTAGAAACCCTTTGTTTGGGTAGTTTGATTTGAAATTTTGGGGACGAAATTCTTTAAGGGAGGAAGGTTGTAGCGATCCTAGTTTTGCCACTTTGTTGAGTATGTCAGGGGTCGAGCTGTCCGGTTAGCTCACGGGGGTTCAGTGGGCAGTGCCCCTTGGTGGGTCCTAGGGCAGCGCCCTGGCGGGGTTGAACAAAAATGCAAAATGCATTCGAAGTTGCTTGTCTGCTCGAGCGGGAGAACAAGTCGCACGTGCGGATTTCAGGGGAGAGTAGCTTGCACAATGCTAAAAAGGCAGGTGCGGGAGTGAGGTGCGGTGGGTTGGTGAGATCCGAAATTTTTCCCTTTTCTTCTCTCTTTGGGCTGAAGTTGAATCACTTTTGTATATCTCTCTCTCTCCAAAAACATTTCCTTTCCCTTCTCTCTACATTTTCTACCAAAAATCTCACAAGATCTTTGATTTCTTCAAATCCTTTGGGATTTGGACCTAAGTTCTTCATCAAAGTTGGTTAGCTCCTTGAGGGCTTGGTTGTGTGCAGTGAAGATCAAGTTTGGACATCGTAGATTTTGGGAGTTTCATCTCATTTCTTCTTCAAAACTTGAGGTAAGGATTTTCTTAGAGTTATATATATATATATATATATTTGCAAGATCTAGATGATTTTCGAAATCATCCTTCGATAGCTTTGAAAATTGATTATTAATTCAAGAAGTTGAGCGATTTTGAAAGTGGGTTTGTCTCTTGTTCTCTTAAAATGATCTTATGAGTTTTGATCTTTGTTGATTGAAAAAAAGATGATTTTGGAAAGTTTTCTTTCAAAAGATTTGAGTTGTATAGTTTTGGTGAGAAAACCGAGAATTTGGAGATTTTTTTTAAAGAGACTGAAAATCCATGAATGATATTGTTATATTTATTTTGTGTGTCAAAATAAATGGATGTTTGGAAAATTTCTTATTTATATTTATATAAACGATGAATTTCAGGCAATATGAGAATTGTTGTTTATTTTGAAAATTATTGTTCAAAACGTTGAAATAGTCTTGAAATGACTAATTGTTGAGGATACTTGAGAAGAGGGAATTGTGTTATTCCTTGGATGATGAATTGGAATAAAGTATTTATATTCATCTTGTGTTATTGACATATCAATTCATTTGATTACATTAAACTTTGAAAGTTGATTTGAAAATTTGCATTGAGAAAAGAATATTGAGAAACAAGTTTCCATGAATTGGTTTTGGGGTAAATACTGTGGTAAGTCTTGACAAGTGGTGTAGATGAAATTGAATAGGTGTCGAGCCTTCCAGTTAATACTGGTAAAAATAATAGATTATAGATGTCGAGCCTTCCAGTCAATGCTGGTAAAAATGACAAATTGGTAGTACTTGTATAGTCTACTTGCAGGCACCGACTTAGGGATTACCAGGGTTGTATTTACCGCCCTTGAAATAAATTGTTAAGTTTTGAACAATTGAAACTGCATGGTATCATTGAGCATGATAGTTTTCAAAAGATGAAAATGTGATTTATCTTCAAAAAGGGCATAGCATGACATGTGCATTTCATCTCTTGAGACTTGTATAAAATATATATATACTTTGTTAAGAATTTCCTACTGGGCTTTATGCTCACCCTACGGGATTTTTGTGTAGGAAAAGATGTGGTGATCCCACCCAACTAGGGGGCGTGGAAGTATGTGTGTTGGGAGTACAATGCTCTCATTTTGCTGTGACTCTGTGTGTAAACCAAGGGCTGTGTTTGTGTGGGTTTGAATAACCGTTTTGTGTAACTAAGCTCAAGCCTTGGAAACTTGTAAACCCTTTGGGGGTATTTATTTGTTTATTTACTTGTTGTTGGATTAATGTATTGTTGCATAAAGAACTATTGTATTATGTAATACAAGTTTAGAGATTTATATTCAGTTTTCCTTGAAAGAGCCATGATTGTTGTATTATCATTTGGGCTAGAAATTTGGAGCGTTACAGGTACGACATGTTTGTCGAATTATCCATATTTCATTGTCTTGCAATATTTTGTAAAATAAAAGTGTTTTCCAAAAGCTAACTCGTATTTGTGATCGTTGACGCATTTTTGCGAAATCAATTACGTCAATTGTAAAAACTTACGTATTTCTGTATTGTTAAGAAATTTCAAGAACAACTCAAGCGTAATTTTGTGTTAGACACCCTGAGTTTGGTGACACAGCTTATGTGACTTTGTAAAAATTTACGCAATTTTGTGAAATAAAAATATTCTTCAAAGACTTATTCGTATTTGTGATCACTTACATATTTTTTGAAAAATCACTTACGTAAGTTGTGAAGAGCTACATAATTTTGTGAAGAAAAAAAAAAAAGTGTTCTCTAAAGACTTATTCATATTTGTGATCACTTACGAATTTTTTCGGAAATGACTTACGTCAATTGTGAACACTTATGCATTTTTCTATTGTTAAAAATTTTTAGGAACAATTTTATGCGTCATTGTGTTAACTACCTTCAGTTTTGTGACACAATTTACGTGACTTTGTGAAAATTACGCAATCTTGTGAAATAAAAGTGTTCTTTGAAGACTTTTATGCATTTATGATCACTTACGTATTTTTTTAAAAATCACTTATGTCATATATGAAAACTTAAGCATTTTTGTGAAATAAAAATATTATTCAAGAATATACACATCACAATAATGCAAAACATTAAATCTGATAATCCAAAACAATAATGACGGTAAACATGTGCACATTCACATTCACAAAAATACCGAATCAATAAATATATATATACACAAATGTATAATACCATATTAATTTATCTTGAAACAAAGAGTCAAATCCAACTTTAATAAATTATTGGGCAATTCTAAACATTCATCCTTCCCAACACATACCTATATGCAGTGACTCTCTCTCTCTCTTCTCTCTCTCTCTCTCTCTCGCTTTGTCTCCATAGGCGTCGAGTACAGGAGCATCACCGCCATCGCACCAACGTCAATCCACAATTGGAGCATTACCCCAGGTATCTCTCTCTCTCTTCTTCCATTCACATGCCTTCACACAAACCCAGCCCCAAATTGACCCACGTACTGCCATTGAGTTTAATACATATTCCTCTTCCACCATGAACAAATCCCTGCTTCTCTCTCTCTCTCTCTCTCTATATATATATATAAATGTTATATAAATTTGGCTATGGTGAGAGTATGCGGATGACCTGTTCGATGAAATTCCAAAATGGGTTTTGAATTAGAGAAATCATGATAGTCTGTTGGATGACCTGGGTTTGGACTGGTTGTCTTTTGATAGTCCGTAGAGGACTGGTTTATCGACATCCTTTGTTGTTGGAGGCACTAATTTGGCCTTCCCAGCAAATTCTTCAAACTCGTCCTGTCAATTGCCATATATATAGTATATATAATTTGTGAAAAATGCAATGTTAATTAGGGTTGATATCTTTCCAGATACAAGAGGAACAGAGCACAAAATTTTGTCACAATATAGGGATTGCACACACTAAAGATTGCCAGAACATTTAAAATTTTCAAGTTATACATGGTACAAATGCTACAACAACAAGCCTTCCAGCAAAAGAAATATAACATAGTAGGAAAGGATGTATAATCCAACTAAAAGAAACAGAACCAAAAACTCCCACCAAAATAATGTTCTACTGTTATGACATCCTTTCCCCAATCATTAAAAAGTGCCCAAGACTTTTGGGTTTTCTTTGAGCTTCTATTAGTTGTTAGAAAAAGAGTAAGAGACATGGACGCAGAGTTTTGCTTTGAATTTGACTTATTGTGCATGTGTTTGATTTTTGTAATGGTTGTGATTGAGGTGTTCTAGAACTAATTTCGTAGAAATAATTTAAAACGAAAAAATTATATGTACTAAACATGTAAGCTCTCTGATTTGGGCATATGGACAGAGAAGTTAACCATAAAAACCATCACATGATAGAGCATAGCAAGATCAGATGCCATGTTGCCTGGATTTTCTTAATCGGTGCAGTAAATGCATGACCATGGTTCAATCCCAAGTTACTGACAAGGGCTAGTTATACCTTTCAATATCAATGGCACAACTTATGAATTTTTCTGCTTGTAAAGTGCACTAATTAGTTGTATGTTGCTTTGTGAGTTTTGATTGCATTAAATAATTCTATAAACTCAATGTGCTGATATGCAATAGTTTGTTGATAAATTCCACAACCATTACAATTCAATAATTTCAAGTACTTTATTCATTAGTTATAAATCTATTGACTGATCAGTAGTTTTTCATTGGAAAACCAGAACCATGTTAATAGAATATGTTTCTGAATTCTTTTATGAAAAATAACTACATGCGGTAGCATCTTAGCACTTTATTAATAGCTTTCAAATTTTCCATTATATGTTTTATGGTAAAAGCTTTTATATTTTTGTACCTTATCATTGTTGCTTCTTTTGTATTGAGGATAGATTTCTAATGTTAGTTTCATAAGATAAAATGATTTAGATAATTCAAAACATATGGATTTGAGAGGAAACAAAATAATGAAAAAAAAATTGTTCTAAGAATTATGTTTTGACTTATAGGTTAGGATTAAATTTCGATTGGGAAGCAGAGGAACATTTGAGAAATGACAAAAAAATAAGAGAAGGCGAGAAGTTTATCCTAGGAAGAAACAAGGTAAACTGGATGAAGCATATGAATTGTGGCTAATACTATCATGCCCACAACATAGTTGATATTTTGCTTATGAGTTAAATAAGGCATTATAAGATCTTCTTTGATACTTTTCTTTTGAATTTTAGTTAGCATTCCATTTAACATATTCATATGGCTATCTGGTTTGGTATAATTGATTGGTGAGATATGATAGTGAGGATTCGTGGCGTATAGTATACATAACTTGGAATGATAATTAATGCTCTATAGTTTTCTTCACAAATATTTATTTTGATTCCCGTTTTCGAAGTCTTAAGACTTGTAATTTCATTTATGATTTTCCTAAAATTGGAGCAGGGTGGTGGCTTTTTCCCATTTTCATGATACTCTTTAGTGCTTTATAGTGCAGTACCTTACCTTTCTATATATAAATCTATGAAGGTGCCTTCAACTCCTAACTTTTGTTTCATTGGTTGTTGATTTTTAAATATTGATTAAATTTATCTAGGGGATATGGATAGTTGTTAATGGATGATATGCCTTTATTACAGAGAAGATTCCAATATCTACTATGAAACAACTAAACATTGGGTAGCGTTGGTAAAAGCAATCTGGAAATCATTTCCTGAGGTTAGTTTTTTCTCAGCTATTTCCTTTTTCTTTTTTTTTTCTTTTTTTTCTTTTCTTTTTTTTTTAATAATATATTGGGGGTCCATCAAGATGAGTTGGCCACTGCCAACTCATTCTTTTTTGATCAGCTCTTTGTATTTACTAGTGATATATATATAGTTTTATTAAGCAAAATACTCTTAACCCCCTAGACTGTTGTGATGGCGAGTAAATATACGAACGGTGAGTTGGTCCGTAATAATAATCTTGTTATGTAGATCTTTGAAAAATATGTGAAGAATTGGATAGCAATTGTTGCACCATTCCAGGTGACATACCAGTTGACAAAGATATTAGCTTTGAGATTGCAACTTGATATGTCCTGAGAAGTAGAATCAAACATTTTGGAAACTTTGAGTCTTAACTTTTGTAAAATTTTACTTTTGTAAAATTTTACTTTTTATATACTCATTATGGTTTTAATTTAGTTATTGCAGTTTGCATCATGGTTCTTGGCTTGAAGACTGGTCGGTACTAATGATTAATTTTTTTTTTTTTTTTTACAGATGATTTTTGGCGTGCAATTGTAGATACAGTTTTTTTTATTTGGGGTCTATAGAGGACATTGTTTTTTGTCTATGGATTACTATTGTTCGTACAAATACTTATTGGACCGGTACAAATTACTTTTGGCATGGTATAGATTATCCTTTTGGCATGATATTGTGGATATTACTTTTTTGTGTATAAAAGACATGGTTTTTGTATAATCCTCTTTTTTGTATGGAATTACATTTTTTAGGTTGGATTTTACTTGGTTTGCATGGAATTTTTATTAGATTTGTAATTTGACATTAAATATGATTTTTTTGGATGATACAAAGTGAAATGTGTGCAGGTTGTGGAATGGTTGATAATATAATCGGTATATGTATTGTTTTCTTTATATACAAGATACAAGTTGCACTAATAATAGAACAAATATAGGCTGTGGAGAAATTAATTAAAAAAACACTAAATAAAGATTGTGGCGATTAAAGATTTGGCAGTCAAAAAAGCAAGCAAAGGTTTTTTGTGACTAAATATTTAGTACCCAAAAAAAAAGACTTTTGCCAACTAAATAGTTTGTAGTCAAAATAAATCACGATGAGGAAAAAATCCTTTGCTGACTAAATATTTTAGTCATGAAAAAACATGACATGATCCTTCAGAGACTAAAATGTTTAGTCGTAAACAACAAGGGCGACCAAAACATTTCGTGGCTAAATGTGACATAAAATGGTGACTAAAATATTTAGTCACTAAATGTAGTACTATTTGCGACAAAAAGTTATTGGCAACTAAAACTTTTAGTCACCAATAGTTAAATTCATTTTTATGTGGTACCTTTAGGCAACTAAAATTTTGGTCGCCAAAAGGTTGCCTTTGGCGACTAATAAATTTTTAGTAGCCAAAAGTTGTAAATTAGTGACCAAAAAATTTTTGGTCACCAATACTATCACCGACGAGGTATTCTTGACTGACTAGGCGACTAAAATATTTTGTTGCCGTTGACTTTCAACGACTAAAAATGAGGCTTTGGTGACTAATTTTTTAGTAGTCAAAGGTGTATTTTCTTGTAGTGTTAGTTTCCTAAATAATTTAAAAAGTGGATTAATTCTCTAAATTTTTTTTTTAGAAAGAAGAAAAAAAAGAACTCTTTAAAGTTGATGTGCCTGTCATACAAAAATGCTTTAGACCACTAATTAGTGGTGGCTCTAATGATGTGGCAGTGGGTCCCACTCACTGCCACATGTGTTTTGTGCCTTGTTTTTTTTTTTTCTTTTTTTTTTTCAATTGCCACCTCACTAGTGGTGGTATTAGTGATGGTAAATTAGTGGTCTATAGCATTGTTCGCCTGTCATATGTGGGGTTGAGAAAAATGCTAAAAAAAAGTCCCACCCACCCCACCTACGGACAAGAGAATACAATTGTGCTTTAAAGTTGTTGTGCCTGTTGATATTGTGTCGATTTAAATTATTTATATTGTATGATTAGATTATTTATAAAAATAAAATAAAATTAAAAAAATTAAAATTAATAAGAGCATATAAAATGTAAAGGGAATAAAAAATAATTTTTAATTTTTCTATATGAATTTATTTTTTTAATTTTTAAAATATTTTTTTAATCTTTTAACTAAAATCCTTAATTGCCAAACAACCCCTTAATGTGAATCTCACCTTATTTTCACTCTTTTCTGTGTGGTTGGAAGCTCACTTGGTTATTCTTTTCTACAGACTTTCTCCCTTCCCTTCCTTACAAGTTTCACTTATTCTCTCCTACAGACTTCTTCCCTTCCCTTCCTTACAAGTCTCTCTTATTCTCTTCTACAACTTCCTCCCTTCCCTTCCTTACAAGCGTCCCTTCCTTACAAGCCTCTCTTATTCTCTTCTACAACTTCCTCCCTTCCCAAGCCTCTCTTATTCTCTTCTACAACTTCCTCCCTTCCCTTCCTTACAAGCCTCTCTTATTCTCTCCAACAGACTTCCTCCCTTCTCTTCCTTACAAGTCTCTCTTATTCTCTTCTACAGACTTCCTCCCTTCCCTTCCTTACAAGTCTCTCTCTCTCTCTCTCTCTCTCTGTGTGTTTAGAGTTAATTTGCTTCCAGGTACTTCTCGTTTTCCTTAATTTATCTCTTGTAATTTTCTCAAACTTTGTATTTGAATTATGAATTTAAATAGAGATTTGAAAATAAAAAGAAAAATAAAGAAAATTTTAACTTATATTTTATTCACATTTATCGCATTTTTTAATTTTTTTTAAAAATTTATGATTCAAACACAACTTAAATATATGTTTGTATATTGTTTGATTTATTTTAGGAAATTAATATGTAAGGATAAGAATGATTTCCCATATTGGTTTGAATTTTAAAATTTGAAATCATAAATAATTAGAACTTTTTATTTTTATTTTTTTAGTTTAATTAACTAATCAATAATTTTTCTGTTTACATTTTAAATTATAAAAAAAAAAAAATTAGTTTAAAAACTTAAAACTCACATTCATTCTCATTAAAAATCTTTTTTTTCTTAATGTATATAATTAGTATAGATGTCATGGTCAGTGGTTCAATGAGAACAGGGATAGGAGAAAGACAGTGATGAGAAAAATGCTAAAAAAAAGGGGCTTTTTCCCAAACTAAGCCTCTTTTGCCTCCTATTTCCTTAACTAGGCCTAGTTTTGATGGAATTCCCAAACTAAGTTAAAGCGCTATTGCAAATCGCGCTTTAACTGTTTGGAGTCCAAAATTTGATGAATAGTTAAGGTGCTATTGTGAATCGCGATTTTAATTAAGAAAACGCTGTTATGAATAGCGATTTTAAACCTGAATTATAAAACGCTATTATGAATAGCGCTTCATTTGCTGATTTTTGCGGATTTGTTTTATAAAGAAAACGCTATTACAAATAGCGAGTTCAGTTCTGAATAAAACGCTATTGTAAATAGCGATTTTAATTTTGAATAAAACGCTATTTAGAATAGCGTTTAAACTGTTTCAGTGCCCATTTCTTTCCTGGTGTCATTGTTTTGGTGATAACGTGATTCATAAAATTTTATTGGATTTAAAGCCATTGTCATGTTAAAATTTTTTTTTTCTTTTGTTTTTGTTTTTGTTTAGAAGGTGTAATTCAGAAATTTTACATAATATGAGAAAAACCTCTTTTCATATATTTATTTTACATAATATTTTTCATATATATAATTTTAAAATCATATTCATTTAGATATTATTAAGCCAATCAAGTTCATTTACAAAAGTCATGGTTTCACTGTTCACTATTGTAAGCATGGATTGAAACCACACTTTCACTGTTCATTTAAATTAGATTTAATTTTTTTTTGTAAATATTTTTTTTCTGTTGTCATTGTTTCGGTGATAATGTAATTCATTTATTTTGTTTGGCTTTACTGATGCCGTTCTCACGTAATATAAAACAAAATGAATGGTATTTTTATTGTAAGCGTAAAGTCCAACAAACGTGGTTGCATACCGGGTCCTCCCATATACTGTCAGCCCGATGTGGATGACTAAAAAGTGGGTCTTCATCAGGTAGATGTGCCAATAAGCCTGTACAGTTGAAACAAATATATTTTCAAAAACTGTATTGGTGAGCATGTAATTTAACTGTAACAATTAAACTCAAATTATTTCGTACATGACAACTTGAAAAACAAATGTGGTCGATTACTTTAAGAGTATAAATTTGTGTGCCATTAACATGGAAGTAATTTACTAAAATCTAAATTTATCAATTTATGTGCCATTAAATATGATAAGCAATTCAACAGAACCTATCGTTATCTATGCTATAACTAATATAGAAATCTTTTACAAAATCATTTTAGGGTCTCAGTTACATAAGCTTAATAATGACTAGTAACATGTGGATAGTTTTTCTATATAAATATTTGCGAGAAAATTGAATGAGAAATTTTTTTTTTCAATAATAGGTTGCTAATTACATTTATGGCATATTTGACAAAACTTAATTATTGATTTTGTAATGGTAAAAGTTTCAATAAAGTATAAAATTTGTAAATTACGTAGATCTGATTCATAAATTGTAAATGTAAAAAATGCTTGCAGCAGATGAAATATTAAAATCTTAAAATGGTAGAAGAACTATGTGATTTTCACTAAAATTTTGTAATAGGTTTTTAGTTACATAGGTAGTACAGACATAAGTCTCCGACAACAATACATTCTGGACACCATGAACTGAACGAACACACAATACATAAACATAACAGTTAGACAGACAAACACCTAATTCATGACCTAATATTGCATATTAATAGTCGCAACATTTGACAAACACAACACATAAACATAAACATAACATAACATAACAGTTATACTTACCCTAACACAGACATTACATATTAATGCATGACCTAATATTGCCGAAGTGTAGACATTAACACCTAATTCGCGCTTAAATCGGCAGGTGGCTCAGAGTCTGAATAATCCGAAAGCTCATCATCAGAGACAAGCTCAGGATCCTCCATGATACCGTTGATAGCCGCAACATTTGGTTCTGTTATGTTCTTCTGGGCATCCTTCTTAACTATGTATAGCTGCATATCGCGGGCTAACCTACGGCGCATTTGAGAAATCTCACGTTGTAGTCTTTCACATAGTCGATCAACATTATCAGGATCTTTTAGATCTCAACAGAACGTGCTTTTGGCACCTTCAGTCGATTTTCCCGACATAATCTTTCCATTTACACTTGCTCTATAAATAGTGCAGGCCACTTCAGAAGTCTAGCGTTTGCTAAACCATATCCTGTTTGATTATCTGATGGATCCTCCACCAAACCACATGGATCTCGATAGTATTTGGGCATGACAAAATGTCGCTTCCCAAACCTATCATGATAAGCACAAGAGGCATCTAACAAAGGAAATGGTGTTTCATCTTCAGCATTGCCACTTCCCATTTCCCCTCCTCGTCGTGAACTGTCACCCCTTTGCAAGTTCCTACCACCTCTGTGATTCCCACTCCCTCCCATGAACCATGTAGCCATACTAATTTTTTAAAACAAATAAATGACAATTTCGTAGAGCGAAATGAGTTGTAAGGTTGTGTCTTCACCTTTAGCCGTTTATATAGTTGGTTATGAACGCCTTTAGAAAGATGCCTCTGCATCACAATCCCACATATATGAACAAGGTATGAGTGTCACTAGACTGAAAAAACAGAGAAAAGCAAATACTGTGTATGAAGTCACGTGACTTGACAATCCATCTGCATATACGGACA